GAAAATTTCCCAGCTACAACATTGTTGAATGTCAAGAAAATTTGTTCTTAATTAATTTCCAAGTTGATAACGTGCTGGTAGGATTAATCGGCTTCTTTCAGGGCAACACTGCATCCTGCCCTTATGACATAATAGCCTCAATTTTTTGTCTGCTGAATAATAAATGAACCATGTCAGAAGAACATTATCTTCCTAATCAATCAATAACCAATAATCCTAACGTTCAATTTTTCAATTCCCACATAAACTTCAAAGGGCCAAGTGCAGTATGAGTTCGCATCCTAATGAGAACAAATTTTGTGAGAATGATCAGGTGCTGATTTGAAATCGTTTGAACTTGGTGGAGCTAAATCAATATTTTGAACCATGAAAATTCCATGCGCATGGATCGGTAACAAATAACCCCGCCGGTAATTGGTTCGTAATCGTTTCACTCATCTTCCGCTTGAAATACTTCTATAAAACCACAATCTCTCAACCCTCAAAAACTGAATACCAGCTGATTGAAATCAATCAGTTGTACCAGCAACACGAGAATGTGACAGGACTACAACAGTTCTCTGCTGTTTTTTTATCACCAACCAGCCACTTTTAGCATACACGCAGGACGAAGGTACGCTGCCGATCTCCCTGAAGCTCGCCGGGCTTAGCTCATGAGACGCAGCATATGTGACACGAATGAGGCACGTAGAAACAAAAAAGAAACGCGAAATAATACGTCTCGAAATGTACCAGGTACCTACGATCTTATAGAAAGCGTGTCTCTATCACGCGGGATGGATGCACGTGTACATTACCTCTGTGTGAGGTATTTGAGAGAATTTACAAGTTTTTCTCTAACCGGAAGCCGCCATATTGAATGGCTTCAGACATCGATTTCTGGTCCCTACACGTCACCCCAATTCTAAAAATACCTATATTGAGGGTAATTTTGCAGTATTTCCTTTAACTGGAAGCTGGCATATTGAATTCAAAATGGTGTGAGACATGGGTTTTCAGTCCTTACACTTCACCAAGATTTCAAAAATACCCATATTGAGAGGTATTTTACATAATTTTCAAGTTTTTCTCCAACCGGAAGCCGCCATATTGAATTTCACCATAGCCGCTGACGATTTCCGGCCCTTACACGTCACCCCAACTCCAAAAATACCAATATTGTGCGATATTTGACAAAATTGTCAAGTTTTTCTCCAACCGGAAGCCGCCATATTGAATTTCAAAAAGGTGTCAGACATCGATGTCCGGCCCCTGCACGTTACAAAGTTTTTGTCTAACCGGAAGCTTACATATTGAATTCAAAATGGTGTCAGACATGGGCTTCCAGTCCTTACACTTGATTAAGATTCCAAAAATACCCATACTAAGAGGTATTTGAGTTAATTTTGAAGTTTTTCTCCAACCGGAAGCCATCATCTTGAAATTCAAAATTGCCGCAGACATCGATTTCCGTCCCTTACACGTCACCCCGACTCCAAAAATACCAATACTGTGCGATATTTGACAAAATTTCAAAGTTTTTCTCCAACCGGAAGCCGCCATATTGAATTTAAAAAAGGCGTCAGACATCGACACGTCATGAATACTCCAAAAATACTCATATTGAGAGGTATTTGACAGAATTCCCAAGTTTTTCTCTTTCCGGAAGCCACCATCTTAAATTTAAAAATGGCCTCAGACATCAATGTCCGGTCCCTCCAAAAATACCAATATTGTGGGGTGTTTGACAGAATTTTCAAGTTTTTTTTCCCGACCAAAAGCCGCCATCTTGAATGTCAAAATGCCGTCAGACATCGATATCCGGTACGACACGTCACCAAGATTTCAAACATAACAAAATTGTGGGCAATTTGGCAGTACTTCCCAAATGTTTTTTACGTCTGTTTTGATTTACGAATCGCCGGTGTGGTTCTTAAATGGAGGAATACACTGGAACCTCCCTAATAAAAATTGTATGGTTAATTTGCTTAACGACGTGTTCTGGGTATCATCCAAACCATTTGTGGAATAGTTCAATGATTTGGGTTATCGTTCGTTTATGGTTATTTTTTATTAGGGCTGGAACTTAATTAAAAAAAAACACGATTGGAAAAAAAATCTTCGTCCGCAATCGAAAACAACAAACAGCTAAAACTGAAAGGGCCTAGCAAAGGTCGAACATTTTCAATCCATTTTAATGATGTTTTTATGCATCATTTCAAACATGTGAACGCGAATTATTTTTAAGAAAAAAATAAATATTTTGATCTACATTGTATGACATGAAATACGACTCGAAACGCATGTTCATAGTAAAAAATAATAACCTGCGATTAAACTGATAAATTAACCTACAAAAACTACGTAGGCCGTTTCCGAAAAACAAAGCAAACTGACATCTCGGCGAATGAACACCGAGTCACTTTGCAACTCACCTAAGAATGAACCTACCACGTCACCCGAGTCGACTGTCGGAATTGACCAATTGACGAGTGCACGGATGGATTTGAGTTCACTCACTCGACAAAAAGTGACACAACAGCGGGGCCCTGTTTACTAAAAATGAACACATATGTGTTCATTTTTAGTAAACAGGGCCCCGCTGTTGTGTCACTTTTTGTCAAGTGAGTGAACTCAAATCCATTCGTGCACTCGTCTATGCACGGAATGAACTGCATGAACAAATTTGACGTTTGAGCGGTGCCGTGTTTATTGAAATGAACTTTTTCTTTTCTCGGAAAAATTTCGTTTTTGCTTCGTCTGTCATGTCAGCTGTCGCGTCGAAAATTGTTTACGTGATTTAAAATTGATTTTAATTTGTTTTACAAGTTCCCTCGCGTACGATTTTATTTGGTGGTGTTTGCGCAGCTCCTGTTCCGTGTTTTACTCAAATTGGTAAGTACATTAAAATCTTATTTAATGCAAAAATACATGTAGCAATGTGTATCTGAATCATTTCAGCCGTCTTCGCTCTTGTTGCAGAGCGGTCGAACACTGTGACCTTCCGGCGTGGTGATTCTTTCCTGTTTCGTTCCTTGGACGTTGCTAAATCGATCCGGATCCGCTTCAACCAGTAAAAACAACGAATCTGATTCCGCTCTAGGCATTCCTGTCTGCGTCGGTGTGAATTTGTCCTAGTTCCTTCAGACCATCCAGCTCGACTCAAATCGTTGCCGTTTTTGCATTCAAGAATTTCAAATGTGGTGAGTTATAATCAATGTTCAATAATGATAACAAAGTTATAAGTGTTTTTGTTTTTCGCCATGATTCGGACTAATGACCTTAGACCGACAGGTACACGTCTGTCCGCTTACGCTCGGAATCTTCCAAAAGATAATCCGAATGTACTGAAGCGCTATATAGAGAAAATAAAATAGAATTCATTCAATTACCCGTACCTGCTGGATTTCAGAAATACTCTGCTACTACTAAATGTGACCACTGGTCATGTGGTAGAGTATTTATTAAATTATCGATCACCGTATACAAGGAATCCAATGAAAAACCACCGGAGCCTGGAGGGATACAGGAAATACGAAGCTGGATTTGTAAGTTCCGTGAATGGACAGATTATAGATAAGAAACACATAGTAGCAGCGAGGGTGAGTATAATGGATAGTAGGAAAAAGCAAGATAACAGCAGCAATTAATGAAAGCTATTTTTATACGAAGTTGAGGTTAGGGAAAGAGAGGCTCTCATTATTACTTAATGTTGAAAAGTTATGTATGAATTCAGCTATGTATAGATGAAACTTACTGGGATAAAATGAAAACGCATACAAATAGTTTTACATGGACATGAATGATAAATAAAAGAACCCTTCTATGTCTTACTGATGACTTGCTTTCCTAATTCTTGGAATGACGTTGAAATGTAAAAAAAATATATTACTATGCTTTGTTTTTAGGTCATACATTCTATGAAAATAACAGACACCATGCTTAAACCATGGGCAATTATTGACCAGTTGGGAAACATTTTATATGCTCACTGTGATTGTGTTGCTGGGTTCAGCGAGACGTGCTCCCATATCAGTGCAGTTCTATATTATTTGGCAAATCTTCATGCGGAGTCTGTCGATCGGAGGGTAAGAAGTAGTTTTAAGTTTTGTTTACAATGTATCTTATCAAATGATTTCATATTTAGGTGACTGTAACAGATGTACCAGCATACTGGAAGCAACCACCAAAACGGATCCGGGAGGATTTATATAAAAGAGTTGAGGATGTTGTTTACGGCAACAAAACGAAAAGGTGGTACGATTCACCCTCTGTTCGTTCTCAAGAAGATGTTGAAGAGTTACTGATGGATCTGCAGTCTGATGGTTCAAACCTGATAGTTCTTCATTCTGTATGTGACGGGACAAACTTCTGTTGCACTCAGTGTGTGTCACATTGGGTTCCCGATGAAATAATCATCAACAAGAATATCCTCCTGCAAAACAATTTTGATATAGGATATGAAACAAAATCTTTGCAGGAACTTCGGGATATAGCGAATACTAAGGTATTTCATATAACCACAGAAAATGTTAACTGCGTCGAAAGGCTAACACGTTCTCAGTACAAAGCAAATTTATGGCACTGGGTGCGAATCGGTCGTATTACGGCCTCGATCCTGAAGACTGTGGTTTGTGCTTCAAATGAGGTTCCTCCACCAAAACTAAGCACGCTCAAATCAATCTGCCATCCATACTTGCACCAATTTGATACGCCAGCGACATCATACGGACGAAGAAACGAACCTGCAGCGCGACAGAAGCTTACAAGGCTGTGGAATAGCGATCATGAGAATGGAAACATTATGGTTTGCGGAGTGTTTCTTAGCACCGGCATAGTATGGAATGCATAGATTTATATTTATGTCAATAAACCCCGTTTTTTAATTAACATCGGTTATAACTTTCCAAAATGAGATAGCGAAGTATTTACTTCGGTAAAAACATGCGTAATCAAAAGCGCTGAAAAAGTCTAAAATTGAACTATTGACTTATTAAAATTAACCAGAATACAAGCGAGTTTTACAATAATATCGAATTTTGATTATTTTCAAATCTTCTCAAAGCATTTACAGTAATAGATCGTTTTAGATAAGTGAGTTTAGATTTAAGTACACCAATTAGCCGCTCGATGTGCACCCTCAAGCATGTTATTTGTTTATCCTTTTCAATACTTAGTGGATTCAATTGAGATCCTTTCCTCCAGAATGTAGGTATGTTTAAAATGGCACCTTTTGATGCTACCAAGTCTCGTATATAGAACCCCTTATCTGCTAGAACTACGTCTTCTGATTCAAGGTTGTTTAAAAATCCACTATCATTCGCTATAAAGCGATCAGAGCATCGTCCTCCATAGGCTTGTGATATAAACGCTACGCTGCCGTTACTGTTCATAGCTATTAGAAATTTTGTCGTCTGATGCGATTTATAAGCACTATGATGAGCTATTGCTGCTCTGGTTTCAAGGGGTGTTTCCGAGTACACCTCAAAACAATCGATGACAAAAATTCTTCGCCTTCCAAAATACTGTTGAAATATTAGAGGATTGTGTCTGATAGCGATGTCTTTTGGAAGAATAGACAGGGCCCATTTCAAATTCTCAAAGAGAATAAAAGCTGTTCGGTGAAAGAATTTGGATGCTGTATTCGTGCAGACAGAATATTCGTCAGCTAGTTCACAAAAAGGTGTGTTACGGCGTAGCTCCCGGAGTGTCATGACAAATACTTCATCTTTTGTCAAATGACAGGCAGGATCAAATAGAACAGGTTCCATAAAGTTGTATAATCTTTTGAGCGTAGTGAGCATGTTAATTCCTGTATATCGTCTACACATGTCATTATTCGCAATCCAAGCCATGCCACGACGGCCTTTAATCAACTGGTGTTGAAGACGATCTACAATTTTGTTAAGCCGTGAGATCTCCATTTCTTGTTCGCAGTCACACGTTGCATTGTTCGATAGCGCTGAAATTATAAAAAAGGGTGGATTTAAACACATTTTCATATTAATTATTACAAATAATCACATTTAAATGTATTTGACTCAATCATTCTCACTTGGCTGGCTATCGAATACTTCACTTAAATTATTAGTGTTGGAGTAATGGCTTGTGTTACTATCGTTCAAAGTAACATGACTGTTTTCTGAGTTTTCGTTTTGATTATGGTTGGTTGAGTCATCAATTTGTGCAGATAGATCCAAGGATGTACTCAAATTTAAGTTAATACCAGATACTAGAATTGGCATATTGACAGAGGGAATCCAGTCAACATTTCGTACATCGGTTAATTTGGCTGGTTTTCCTAAAATAAATCAATAAATTTCAGATTTCAAACCAATAAAATCATGTATTGAGTGTTCCTACCAAAAACAAAATGCTTGTTGCAGATAACTTTATTTTTAGTACTATACAGTTGTCTAAATCCTAAGGCTTCAATCCATTTTTGCGATCGTTGGATGGATAGTGTTGGCATAGAGTCAAGGGCCGTTGCAAAGCGATAGAAAACAGCATCATTTGTTTTCAGATTAGCTCCTCATCCAGGAACAACCGAGGGGGACGACTCTATCTACGATGCAGAAAAGATTGTCTTTTGCTGTGGCTAGTTGCGCGCACGCTAAGTAGATAGAAAGAAGATTGATGACGATTCTGAGGATTTCCTGCAACAAGATGATGCACGATACAAGTAGATGCGAGAAATGAAATAAGATTTTTCGAAGATTGATTCGCTAGTGTGAAATTTGTATTTCACATGTGTTTAGATGTGTCGCCCCCCTCGGGAACAACACACTTTTTGGTCATGTTAGTGTTGATTATATTTGATTAAGGGAATTGAAATGACAAAACTTAAGCGAATCTGGAAACAACGATGATGCATTCACACTGAGATGGCTTAAATAATTTGGGTCGCACGCTGGCTGCACAGTGGCAGTTGTAGCACAAATCCATATCGACGAGTTGTAACAACAGCCAAGAGAACGATTTGTCGTCGAAATCATAGATAATACAGGTTTTAGAATCTTCAACGGCTTCAAAACGGGAAGGCTGCATCAACAGTGGAGACGGGTGAAACGATTTGGGTACACATTCCAAATTGTATGCATCACATAAAACTTCAATGTATTTACCATAGATCAACGCCGACGCAGACAGTAATTCCTAGAGCGGAATCAGATTCGTTGTTTTCACTGGTTGAAGCGGATCCGGATCGATTTAGCAACGTCCAAGGAACGAAACAGGAAAGAATCACCACGCCGGAAGGTCACAGTGTTCGACCGCTCTGCAACAAGAGCAAAGACGGCTGAAATGATTCATATACACATTGCTACATGTATTTTTGCATTAAATAAGATTTTAATGTACTTACCAATTTGAGTAAAACACGGAACAGGAGCTGCGCAAACACCACCAAATTAAATCGTACGCGAGGGAACTTGTAAAACAAATTAAAATCAATTTTAAATCTCGTAAACAATTTTCGACGCGACAGCTGACATGACAGACGAAGCAAAAACGAAATTTTTCCGAGAAAAGAAAAAGTTCATTTCAATCAACACGGCACCGCTCAAACGTCAAATTTGTTCATGCAGTTCATTCCGTGGATTGGGAAGAGTCATGTGACTGCGAGGTGACAATTGTCGTCTCACCTCATTCGCCACGCAGAATAACCCTGATACTAGTCTGTCGTAGTTTCATTTCTAAATTGGGTTGTTTAACTTCGAAAAATATACCGATTTTTATACATCATCTAATAGAGCTTCGTTTTCGGAGCACAACGATATTTTTATAGATGCGGTAGACATTCATCTTGATTTTTAAATCAAGATTTAGATTTTATGGTGATTTTTGCTAATGTAATCGTACTTATTTAAAATAGTTCCAGTGTACCAAAATTGATGAAATTTTGGATTTCGGATCGATTATTAATGCAGATAACGAACATGTATTTACCTCAATACCCCTAAACAACCCAATAGACTAAGTTTATAAAAAGTTTTATTTCATGAACCCTTGGTATACTTGCTATTTATGCAGCTTAGCTTCTAGAGGAGTAGGTATCCACTATGACGATTATACGGGTTTGTTTGTTCTGATCTACTTGTATTTGTTTTGTCAACAAAACATTGTATTTGCCTAGGCATTTGCACATTGATTTGGTAAATATCGCTTTAGAAAAGGGCAGTTTGCTTAATCTACTAAACAGCATGAGCAAATATCTTGATTTTCCGCTTAAGGTTTGTACTCGAAAAAAATGCAACATTTTTATCCGAGTGTAACTTTTTTATCCGTGGGAAAATCTAAGTATAACTAGTTTGGAGTGAATTGTTTACATATGCAAAATTTCATAACAATCGGTTCAGTGGTTGTCATCGAAACAAGAAGAAAATCGCCGGAGAATTTTGTCTCGCCGTCATGGAAAATCCGACTGCGACCATGAGATGGATCGGAAGACAACTGGGAATCACCCATACAACTGTGTCTCGGGTGGTAAAATAGTTTAAGGAGTCCCAGACGACCGAGCGGTGGGCTGGCAGTGGAAGAAAACCGAAGGCAGCTGACCCTGTGAAGGCCCGGAAGGTGTTGGATTATTTCAAGCGTAATCCGAACCTTTCGATTCGCGACGCGGCTTTGAAGGCAAAGTGTTCCACCTGGTTCGTTCAGCAAACAATGAAACGAACTGGGCTTCGTGTATTCAAGGTCCGAAAGGCACCGAACCGGCGTGATCAACAAAACACGGCGGCCTAATCCCGCGCAAGGAAGCTGTATCGAGAGTGGTTAACGAAACCGATGTGTGTGGCTATGGATGACGAAACCTACATCAAGGCAGACGCAAAGCATATACCGGGGCTGGAGTTCTATGTTGCCAAATCACGGTTTGATGTTCCGGAAGACATAAGAAAGAAGAAAGTGGACAAATTCGCCAAAAAATACTTGCTCTGGCAGGCCATATGCCAATGCGGTAAACTGAGTAAGCCGTACATCACAATGGGTACAATCAACAGCGAAATTTACCGCACATAGTGCCTCCAGAAGCGTCTGTTGCCCTTCCTGCGGTCCCACGGAGGCGAGACATTATTTTGGCCGGTCCTGGCATCATGCCATTACGCGCGATCGACGTTGGATTGGTACAGAGACAATAACTTTGTTTTTGTACCAAAAACCGCCAACCCCCCAAATTCACCAGAGATTCGTCCGGTGGAAAGGTTTTGGACCATAATGAAGGCCAAAGTTCGAAAATCGTCCAAGGCGTTTAAAAACGAGCTGGAGTTGAAGAAAGAATGGATGAAAGTGACCAAAAAGGTCGGCTCCACCATTGCACAAAATGTAATGAGGGGTCTTAAGGGAAAGGTGCGGGCTTTCAGCGATGGAAAGGAAATTGAATAAAGTAATTATGCCGAAACATAATCCATATGTATTAGTTCATTCCCTGAAAGTTTCAAGAAAATCCAACTTAAAATAAATTTTTGGCGAACACTTTTGTCTGGTGCATTTTTTTTTTTCGAGTACAGGCCTTAGTTCAGTTGGTTAAGATTACTCATTACACATTGTTTAGTAAACAATGAACCGACTCCTGCACTTGGCACAAATATTTCATCAATTTTAGTTCGTTTAGTTTCACGAAACGAGATAGTACTAACAAGCAATTATTGGAACAGTGGAATCCATACCAAACGATATACTTCATTTGACAACCCTGGATCAGTATTATTAGTAAGTATGTTGCTAATCTTTAAAATTGGTCTGCGGGATTTTCCATCATTAAAAAAATTCGTAAATCATTCAAATTTGATTTACCCAAACTATTAACTGTATTGCCTTTACTGGCATCGGTACTCGTCGACCCATTCCGAGCAGGTGTCACAAACTACCCGGCAGCACCAGTTGAAGCGACAGCGGCACTTTTTGTGTTCCACCTTTGTCTGCTTTCGAACTTTCAGTTCACATCTGCGGCATAAATTCCGGCACGACTTTCTTTCTTCCGGTCCCACCATCATACCTCTGGCCATCGAACACCGACGGTTTCCCATCCCTGGCCATCCTGGAATCGCGTCTTTTCGGCAGAAATCAGGCGATACTGCAATAAGAACACTTTCTTTAAAACAATCAACCGTTCTTCTCCGTTCAAGCCGCCTCACTTACGATGAATGTACGCCAGCTGATCTTCTCGAATCTTCTCCGTGTTCAACTTGCCGGTATTGTCCACAAACAACCTGACGCTACCGGCATACATCCGCTTGACACCCGCAGCAATCGCTGCAAACGTTTTCATCGTACTCCAACAAGTTCTCATAGCGCACGACCCGGACACACCATGGCAGCGACAATTTCCCCGTACAGCGTTCCGCACCGCCACCCACCCAGCACGCCGATTGTGAGCATTGCCATATCCTTTGGCATCCAGTCGATCGAATCCCTCCACCAATAAGGTTTCACGGTCACACTGATCACAGCCACAAGCATCCAACGTCGAACCTCGGGAGCAATTTCTCGCGTACACATAAATCATGGAAGCCGTGCTGAGCGCTCTCACGAATGCCGTTTCGCGATCCAATGTGGCCGTTGGGATTCGCTTGGTCAGAAACTGCATCGTGGGGCAATTCCATGGTTCCCAGCGGAACTGGCTGCGGCAACTGCTCAGTGCCAGTTCGATGCTATTCGATAAAAGCTCCGGTCCGAGTTGGTAGATCTACAGATGTAAAAGCAACGTTTCGCCTACCGTTAGACTTCCCCGTTAACAAACAACTAGTCAAGTTAAGCGGTACTTACACTGATGTCACTTGCTCTAGCAGTGCAAAGCAACGACAACAGAATGAGCGACGTGCTACCGGTAGCTGACATGTGGACGCAATGAGATTCAAATTTTGACTGAATTCTAAACTCGGATGAAATACCCACCAAGCTACCGGGAGAATCAAACAGATAAAAGGTATCTGCTAGTTGCATCCCTTTCCGTTCTTTGTGTTTCGTTTGTCATCAAGCGTGTAGCTGGACGCGTGGGTATCCCAATGGATGGGCTTAATTTTATTTTAGCACGTTGCTACCGAGTTGGGGTTGGCTTTGGGACTGTCCCCCTTTTTTTTTATAAATGTGAGCAAATGAATGCACCGATTGGATTAATTTCTTTTGTTCGTAATTACTCTACTAAGACGGAACAATTTCCAAAGTTGATTATGGATCAATTTAATTAAAGCGATAAACGTTTGGTCAAAGATAAAACTTAGGAGAAATTATGTAGTGCTACCTCAGCTTGAGCGGCTTTTTTCGACTATCGAGCAGAAAGCGTCAAATATATATAATGATGATACCGACTTTCTCAGTTTCAAATTAATCATTTTGAGACTGGGAAAGTCGTTAAGATCAGTATTGAGCCACTCCCAGAGGATACTATTATTCTCAAATCTATCTATGATTTCGCCATGAACTAATTTATCAAACGTCTAATACGATGCTTTTATTCAGAAGCTACACTGCAAAGTATTAAAAACACATACAGGGTGTCGACTCAATGATGAAAACGAAATTCCCTGATATTCCTTGATTTTCCAAAAAATCCAGGTACAGGGCCTACCCGTTTTTGGCAACACGATCTCATCATTTTACTCTTATATGTACTAGTGCTTTCTGCACATTTTTTCATGAAATACCATTTGGAACTCTAACCTATAATCAAGATAGCAAAGACTTATTTCAGCTAAAACAATGTGTTCGTGCAAGCGACGTTTACCGCCTTTACCCTAAGCATAAAATAATAACTCTACCTGTACATAGTTGTCACCACTTGTCCATGTATAATTGTCTTATTATTTGTCAGTCGTATGTAAAAACAATTGAATAAACGTGTATAGTTCTCATACCTCCGCCATGGCAGGACGGTCAAATAATAGTTCTCGTTTAAATTAATTATCACACAACGTAAAAATCGGGTCCTGTCCGTGCGCGATCACAATGTTTTTCTAAATTATGAAATAATTAGATGCCATGATCAAATTTTGAATTGGTAGGATACAAGAAGAGGTTGCTAAGAATGTGTTTTACATATTAAACCTGTTTATTTCACTTCATGAGAGTCACAATCAGCGATTTTTCACAAACTCACTCACTCACTCACTCACTCACTCATTCAGCGATCAGCAAATCGCTGATTGTGACTCATAGAAAGCAAAATTTACAGGTTTTATGTTTCCAACGCATACTTTGTAACCTCTTCTTGTAAGTTACAAGAAAAACATGCCATCATACCATCTTTTGGTTTTATTATTCCGAAAAACATTATTTTAGCTGAAATGAGTCTTTGCAACCTTGCCTATAATGAGTACACTTATTAGTCTTACAAGGGTTTTTTACACGGTTGGATCCGCTGAGTCGCAATTTACACTGTACGTTTGTAATGATTTCTCAATAACGATACAAATCGACTTGATTCGAACCACTTTATCTGTTTCAAGCCATAGGTAATCAAATGGCATATAAATATTCGAAATTTATGGTGTAAATACAGAAATTTTAGAAATATGTCTAAAGGGCCATAGCATGCTATAAATTGAAATGACCTCCAAATATTTATTACCTGAGTTTAGTTCAGCACAATTTCAAATTGAATAAATCGTTGGATACTTTTAATAGAATGCAAAAAAGACAGAGATCGTGAGTTGCCAAAACCGTAAGGCTCACATATGAAACGCTTGTCTTTAATCCCATTATATGTTTTACTTTGAGCACATTTTGAGACCCAGCTCCACAAGAAAATGATTCCGAATAATACGCTTAATCAAACGCTAACAGCGCCTTCACCTCATTTTCCGAGCTAATCAGGTTTACAATGAAGGCCTCACACACTTGCCTACGTATCTATGTATCATTATTCAATCATAAAGGGCTACTCCAAGCAATCGAAAAAATGTCATCCAAGCAAGACCATTATCCTAAATTTTCAAGCACAATAAGGAACTTGAGCTTGAAATCTTTATTATTTTTGGATTCACTCAAAGGCGCTCAAAGAATTGATAACTCAGTGCGCAAAACAGTCAGGTTCAATGAATCATTTTCCTATGGATATGAACTGCCGTCTGCCTCATCATTCACTGCCTCGTGAGAGTCTGAATGATTGAGAAGTAAACGAGTCACTGACAGCCGAGCACTCAGTCAGTAGCTCAGTCAGCACGTTTATTCTTCCGTGATGGTACCCAATCCTTGTTTTGAATGACTGAGCGTACATTTTCTATGGAAAAAAGCTTCAATTACATGCTGTGTAAGCGAAGGCAAGCGGGGTGAGTTGCTTGTTCGTGAGTGACTGAATGTTTTTGTAGGCTCTTTCATTGCCTCGTCCTTTACCGTTTGGTACAAACGATCTGAACAGAGTCATGAATTGAATAGTGCAGTGCCTGCACATTCTGCCGAATCGGTCAATAATTTTACGCTCTGGGCATAACACCTCTGATCACGTCTTCCGTCGGAGTGAAATGAAATCAGCGTGCATTATGTATTATGGCACAATGGATTGGATACCCCGCTACAGGACTGACAGTCGTGCTATTCTGCTCCCTGAGTAAAAAAGGGTGACACCTTCTTGAAATGGCGAGTAGGCTAATAGCACAAACGAAGTGACAGACGACTAACTGGCGAAGAAATTAATTAAAATAATGTGGTTCGCTGTAATAGAATTTTCTTAGAAGCTTGTGCCATCAGCCACCAGATGGGCTAGTATTTTGTTTGAACATAGTTGATTTTGTGTGCAATATGATCTTTGACAGTGTGCAAAGAGTGTACCATTTTGTCATTTTTTATGCATTTCAGTTTTGAGTGGAGTGAAAGAGATAGAACCAAAACATTCTAGTACATTTAGTGTTGCCATGTGGTACAATCCAGTAGTAGTAGTGTTGCCATGTGGTGCACTGAAGAATTGCAATAGCAGGTGCGTCACCAAAGTTTTCGAGCCGCTCCGTCTGTCACTTCGTTTGTGCTAATAGTGCGGCTGCCCCCGTCCCGGTAAAACCTTGGCAGGCTTCCGGATACGTTCAAAACTCGTCACCAATCGGTGGTTGGTGAGTAGTAGGCTCAGATGTAACATTCCTGACTTACGCCGATCTGGCTCTGAACACGGCCCCCATGAAGGACCGTGTCAACCCTAGCATGGCCTCCCTGCTTGCATAGATAACCATGGGATCACGATAGGAGACTACATACAACGAGTGGAGATAGCGGCTCGGAGGGGGGACCATCAGAATGGAGAAAATCGGAGAAAAAAAAAACAAAAATGAATTATAAGAAAAAAACCAAAAAACTAATATGAAGGACGACGGTAAGACGCCAGACAGTGAAAACGGAGGAGCGAACGTGTTCGCAAGGAGTGGAATATTGCAGAGATCACCAGTGTCGAACCTGGGGGCCACTGCGAGTTCCAACAGCAGCAGTAAGTCTCAAGAAGAGCAGCCAGGCGTTGGGCTAAGCCAGATATTCACACCAATATCCAGCAGTAGCAAATCTCAAGAACTGCAGCTCGAGAGAACCAAAATGACGGAGGTCAGGAGGAAGATCGATGATCTCTATGTGTTCGTAAAGGATAAAAACAACGTACACAAAGAGATCAAGCAACTTGTGACCGGTATCAAATCCGGCATAACAGTGGCAGATCGGGAATTTCAAGAGTGGAGAAAAAGAGCCGAAAATGCCGAAAAGGCTCTGCTGGAGGCCAAGGAGAGCATAATACTGGCTCAAGCACATGAGACGCCGAAGGGACCCATAAATCAACGTCCTGAAAAGACAGATAGGGACACGCCAGGAGATGAGGAGGAGCCCAAAAAACGCAGGGACGACGAGGAAGGCATCAAGGAGATGGGAGAAAATGGTGGGTGGCGTTAAGTCGAGAACCAGAAGGAGAGGAAGAAAAAAAACAGAAGGAGGATGAAGTGAGGAAGAAGGAAGAGGAAGCGAGGAAGAAGGAAGAGAAGAAGAAGGAAGACAGGAAGAACAAGGAGAAGCCTAGGCCTCGTAGGGAGAGAAGCAAGGGTGACGCTCTGGTTGTTGGGGCGAAGGACAAAACGTTCACGCAGCACTTCTCCAGAAAATGAGAGAGGATCCGGAGTTGAAACAACTAGGCGAGAACGTGGTGAAAACCAGGCGAACCCAGAAAGGCGAGATGCTATTTGAGCTGAAAAGGGATCCTACGGTTAAGAGCGCAGCTTTTAAGGAGCTCGTCGAAAAATCTCTTGGCGAGTCGGCTAACGTAAGAGCCTTATCCCAGGAGTCAGTGGTCGAGTGCAGGGATCTGGACGAGATCACAACAGAAAACGAGTTGAAAAGTGCGCTGAAGGTACAATGCAACCTTGGAGACGTACCGATGGCAATTCGGTTGAGGAAGGCGTATGGTGGTACGCAGACGGTGTCGATACGACTTTCTTCGGAAGACTAGCCCAATCAAGGTTGGATGGTCAGTGTGCCCGTTGAAAGCTATTCCTCGGGTATCTAAGAAAATGGAGAGATGCTACAAATGCATGGGCTTCGGTCACCAGGCGAGAAACCGCAAAGATGGTAGGGAATCCATTATCGACGTCACTTTCTGCAGTACGTCACTAATGACAAATATGAACTGGAGAGTGTGCGAAGAGTACACCCATAGTGACCATCAAGCGATCCGGTACAGTATCGGTGAACGGACACCGGTGGAAATGCGAAGGACGAAAGTAAGCGAGCGGAAGTGGAAGACGAAGGCATTCAATAAGGATCTCTTCATCGAAGCTCAAGGGCAAGGGCATGTGATACAGCTATGCCGAGAAAACTGGATCCAACGAACAGGCGGCGTCCAGCTTACTGGTGGAACGAGGATATAAGTACCCTCCGTG